TTGTTGACTGGTTTTAATTATCAATTGTTCATTAGTGTTCTGTTGCTTTGTTATATTGAATAATTGCTACTGTTTCAGTAGGGTTTACACAATAAACTTTTATTGTGAAGTTAAAGTTTCAGTTTCTTAATTTTTCTTGTATTTCTTAAACAGTTCAAATAATATTTGTGCAATTTTTGAAATTTTTTTGCTCATTGCTCATTATAAAGTAGCACTATTAAATACAATAAAATAACATTTAATAACTGTAAAATACTATACAGTAATAATGAAAGTAACGTTAAAATACCGTAGTTCTGCATGGTAAAAATGTACAGTAAAATACTGTTTTCAGTTTTGCAGTATGTGTATCACTACTGTAATTGGTGTTACAGTAAAAAAAGAAAACAGTAAAATGATGTATTACATTTTACAGTAAATCTAATACTAATGTAATTAGTATTACAGTAATGTTACTGTTTTATGAAATACAGCAGCTACCGGATAATTGTTGCCAGTAACTTACTGTTAATTTAACAAGAAATCGTTTACAGTGTACATTTATTTTTAGCGGTTTAGAAGTAATGTTTGGATTCTAACAGTAGGCCTAATCTGTGATGGACTATTTTAACTGCAAATTTCAAAGACATTTTTTAATAAAGAGGAAAATTTCGCTAAACATTGATAAGTTTACATCTCAGCACTGATAGTTGATAATAAAACATCTTTTAAAGAACATCCTTGTTCAAGCAAGCATCTAATGCACACAATGAGCCAGAATTCAATTTACTTTTGAGCTAAATGTTAATACAAACACCTATTTCAAAAGCAAAACTGACACTTTTATTCAAATGTCTGCACTAAATAGTTCTCAGTATCTCTTTTGGTCACAATCATGCATATAAACCATTATAGGGGAGGCCATATATACATTATTATTCATTCATTTTCTTGTCGGCTTAGTTGCTTTATCAATCCGGGGTCGCCACAGCGGAATGAACCACCAACTTATCCGGCAAGTTTTTACTCAACGGATGCCCTTCCAACCGCAATTCATCTCTGGGAAAATTCTAATTATTATTATTATTATTATTATTATTATTATTATTATTATTATTATTGAAAGATTTTATATGGTTTAAATGTATTTTAGGGGTATCAAGCATTTATTGCTGGTCAAATAAAAAATATATAAATTATTATTATTATTATTATTTATTAATATTATTAATATTTTTATTATTTAAATATTTTATATGCTTTTACTGTATTTTAGGGGAATCAAGCATTAATTGCTGGTCAAACCCTCCTGTAATTTGCACTCTGGTGGAAAATAATAGCTTTTATCAATCAGGGATATATCAGTCAGAAGCAGTTTACAGAAACCAAAATGTACAGTTTTAAAAGGAATCAGAGGCCTAAAGTCAATATTAGGCTACTGAAATAGACACAGTAAATGGTCAGATAGTGCCCTCTTTCCTTTCCTCACATTTCATGCCTCTTTATCTGTTTTGTGAGCCTAATCTGCCATCTAGTGCCACTGCATTAAAGTGAATGCTTAGAATGGAAACATCTAGGCTTATTATGGACTGATATCTTGATATATGCATTATGCCAGAAAGGTTTCCCTCTATATCAACATTGTCAGACTTTAACTTTTAATGCAGAACCTGCAGTGAAGAATCCCACCTTCCTTAACATCTGACTGCAGTCGGACAGGCCCTAATAAATTCCCTGAATGGAAGCAGCAAAAACACTGAGCCAAATGAGCCTAATCAGCATTCAGCTCAGTGGAGGGCAGCGAGCTGGGGGATCTGCCCTGTGCCTTCGACGTGGGCCGAAACGCGGATGAGCCAATGGGACAGTAATTAGAGTGAGGAGGGCAGCGCTGGTGTCTATACCTTTATTAATTAAGTGCAGAGAAGCTGCAGATGTCACTCAAGAATCTGGCAAATGAGGTGAATTAGGCCGGAGAGCCAGATGTGTGAATTATTGATGTGAATGTGAGCGCATGACAGATGCGCAGAAGACGTTTGAACTGAAAGGAAGAAACACCTTTTCCCAGATTAAGATGTAAAATATACTCTTATGCTTGCCTTTATATGCACACAGTATGTATTTACATTCTCATTTGCTGGTGCCATTGGTGAATATGAACAAGGCTGTGAAAATAAATTTGCATTGCTTATTTTTTTTATATAAGTGTGGTGGTAGGGGGGAATCACATTATAAAATAAAAGTTTTACTGCAATGTTTCACCCCTACAAAATATCTGTATATCTGTATAAGGAGCTAATAAATTTGACTTTAAAATGGTTTTGAAAAACTTTTCAACTACTTTTATTCTAGCCGAAATAAAACAAATAAGACTTTCTCCAGAAGAAAAAGAAATTATCAGACATACTGTGAAAATTGGGTGAAGCAGTGGAGCAGTAGGTAGTGCTGTCGCCTCACAGCAAGAAGGTCGCTGGTTCGAGCCTCGGCTCATGTTCTCCCTGCGTTCGCGTGGGTTTCCAAAGACATGCGGTACAGGTGAATTGGGTTGGCTAAATTGTCCGTAGTGTATGAGTGTGTGTGTGTGAATGTGTGTGGATGTTTCCCAGAGATGGGTTGTGGCTGGAAGGGCATCCGTTGCGTAAAAACTTGCTGGATAAGTTGGCGGTTCATTCCGCTGTGGCGACCCTGGATTAATAAAGGGACTAAGCCGACAAGAAAATGAAATGAAATGAATACTGTGAAAATTTCCTTGCTCTGTTAAACATCCTTTGGGTAATATTTAAAAAAGAAAAAAATTCAAAGGGGGTTTATTAATTCTGATTGCAACTGTATATACTATGTACCTATGGGTTAAGGTTAGGACAACAAAAAGGCCAAATTCTATCATTCATTAGTCACACAATACCTAAAAGAAAAGGTAAATATTCTGATGTGCAGCAGAAGATGCTTGACCTTTTCCATTTTGATTTGCTTTTGTCTTGTTTTTTAATATTTTTTTGTGAGGGAAAAAATGGATAGTTGACTTTACGTAAATGAGAGAAACCATTGAAATTGTAGTTTTTATTAATTAGCTTAAATTTCCTTTTCATTAGACTTTTGCGTTTTTATCAGTTTTATCTTATGCTTTATATCATCTTAAACCATTTCAGTTTTTAAGAAGGCCTAAATTTTCTTTTCATCAAGTCAAGTTGAGCTTCGTTGTCATTCCTCTACATGTGTGGACATACAGAGGAATGAAATGTTGTGACTCGCAGGACAGTGGTGCTACAAAAATTAATTATAAATACAAACACAACACTGGACATATTAAAAAAAATAATTTTAAAAAACTATTCATGACTAACATAAACTATAAGATACTTAACTATACACATAAGACAGACTATTCACATAGCCTACTTACACGTGATACTAAACTATGTTGTGCAGGATATTGTGCAAGAGAGGTACTGAAGGTGAATATTGTCCAAAAGAGTTATGTAAGGTTGAAGCAAGTAGTGCAACATGAGCGTGTTACTTTAATATTAAACATAATTTTCCTTATTGAAGGATGGATGAGATTTCAGAGGGGGGTAAATTGACTGAAGTTGAGAACTCTATAACAGCCTATGGGAAGAAGCTATAGTCTAGCCGAGCAGACTCTAATACTTCGAAACCTTCTTCCTGATGGCAGCAGCCACTATGGAAGAGGTGGGGAGAGTCTTTCACAATACCGCTATTTTTGCTGAAGCACCGTGAGAGAAACTTTTTATTAATTTTATCTTTTAAATTAAGTAAAAATTGTTAATATTTTAAATAAATAAGCCATTTTTTTTTCTTTGTTACAAGCATATTAATAATACCATATCTTCACACTTTTCACTTTAAATGACCCAAAAGATTAACATTAAATGGTATTAAAACATACATACAGATGTGCCAAATATACGTAAAACGCCTGATTTTATAGTTTACAAAGTTAAAATGCAAAGAAATAAACAGTAATTTAATGCCCTGCTACATTTGTTATTTGTAATTTCATACACACAACCACCATTTATATCATTATAAAGATAAATGGACAATATCACACGAGTAGCAGTGCGATATGGCTGTATCTACCTCAGAGGATCCAACGCCATCTCATGGCAATTCGTAATGTTTTGATTTAGTGGCTAATTCGTATGAATTTGTACGATCGTATTCATACAATTTAGTAAGATTTACTTATCCCCAATGAAGATTGTTGCCACACCTCCTTTTTATAATCATACATTTTTTGTACGCTGTACCTGTACACTTGTTCAAATAATTAGCCAGTAAACTGACAAAATGTAAGATAGTTATGCTTCCTTGTTAAATCAGGCAAGAGGATCAGCACATAAGTACAGAAAAAAATGTGTACCTGCACAAGACATTGTTATATCTGAAATGTGTGAGTGTGTGTGTGAGTGAGTTGGAGTGGTGTGTTTTCTGTCTGATGGATGAATGTAGTTTGAATACCCATTCATTTCCTATGGTGGTCACCATAGGTGTAACAAGGTTGATTAAAACACTCATAATTCATTGAAAGAGGTTAACATCACTCATATATTTTCAAGTTCATAGATATCAGAAGGCCTTAAGGCTATCAGATGTAAAACACAATATTTATGAGTGTTTTCAGTTGTAAATTGGTCAGATTTGACTGTAATAGGAAGGTTAATGCAAAATAAGGTTGAGGTACTTGGGAGAATGCTGAAACCTATAGCCACAGACGAACAAAAAAGTAGGCTAGATGTCAATGGCTACCAGTTTTCAGCATTCTTAAAAATGATGATTTTATTTTGTGCTAAACACTAGAAAGAGACGAAAAGTGGAGGATGAGAATGACCAAAAATCCTTTTTGGGCTAAACTCTTCTTTTAAGCATGAATTTAAACACACGATCAAATATCCCTGCTTAACCAGCAGATGTCACTGTGAGATTTGTCCTTCAGGAAAGAAAGTCCCTCTTGAGTATCCGTAGCCGGTTTATATCACGCATCCACGCGGAAGTCCCGCCCCTTTTCCCCCCTCGCTCGCGGGACGTGTAAGTGTTAGCACTTTAGCTCTATCAGTATAATCTGTTTAAATCTGTATCCATCCATCAATAAACCTCTTTTAAACACGCATCATATCGAAGTATATGTATAAAAGTGTGCCTAAACGGAATATTTCGCTGGTGATTTGTCGCAAAGTGTTAATATAAAGTCTGTTTTGTTGCATTGCAGGGTCGAGTCGAAACTGAAACACAATGGTGAGAAATGATTATTATATTCAGCATTATAATGCTAGAAAAAAAGAAACAGTGATGTTTGTATGCGTTTTATTCAATCATGGTAAAATGCTGTTGTAAAGTACTAAAAAATATGGCACTTAGCATCGCACGACGGCAGAAAGTGGCTAATGTAAATGGTGGTGATGGGAAGGTTGGTCACGCTCACGCACGTTAACTTTAACGCTGTTAGAATATTTGAATCAGCAAGTCGTACTGGATGTTTTAAAAGGCTTGTTTTGTTAAAGTCTGATTGTTGTAAACTAGTCATTGTGAGGTTTAACGTTACGCGTTTCTTATTGAAGGATATCTGATTAAGGTTGTTTGAATTCTAATGGGGAACTTTGGCTTTATATGCATTTTTTATAGTTTGTTTTAGATTGGAGTCACTTTTAGTTTGATATTTTATGCCTTTTTATAACGTCAGTAAAGTGTTTTTTTTTTGCCAATTCTAAATGAGGTAATGATGCTAGTAGCTAATGGCTATCGAAGTACAATATTATTCACAGTCAATGAAATAGTGCTAATGTTGTTTTGAAGTCATTCTTACATGCAGTTTCAGATTGAATATCAATATCTTACTCATTTTTTGTTTGCTGCATGTTCAAACTACATATTTAAAATGAGCAAAACAGCACTATTCTTAAGTTGTTGTTTTTTTACAACTTAATTATTTATTGCTCATTTATCTTAAATTTGTAAAAACAATCAAGTTCAATTGATTTGTGTTTGGACAACATGAAGGTATAATGTGAAACTCAGAATTGTTTTACAGTGACAGTAGTGTGGTAAACAATGTAGTGACTGCCTAAAGTTGTCATTGTGTGCATAAAACTATGTTGTATAAAGTAAGCTATTATAAATTATGCTTTACTATGTTATTGAATGCCAAAGTCTGAATATGTGGATTTAAAACTAACTTTACCTCAATTGAATCTCTCCCAAATGTGTTTTTTGTCTTAATAGCCACGTAAAATCGAAGAAATCAAAGATTTCCTGCTTACAGCAAGGAGGAAGGATGCCAAGTGTAAGTTGTGGTTTTAACATGCTAGTTTATTTTCTTTTTTTAGTGTGGTGGAGTTTTTTGTTCAATGGTTTTGCATGGGTTGTTTTGATGGCTGTTTATTAAGTAACCTGTGTGGGGAAAAAGCTTATCTTAACCCTGAAGTGCTGCACTTTTTCTATGTCTGTTTTAATGACCATATCTCTACCGATGTTGAAATTAGCTGACAAATTGCCATGAGTTCTGAAATATCCTGCAAGAATAATTTTTTATGTGACTATAAAGTCAAGCTAATGCAGTGATCGGTTGGTGTTTTTAAGAAGTTTGCAAGTTGTCCAAACACTTTGGGTTTGACCTGTGCCCACTGTGCATTTACACACTTGCTAGAGCAATGATGGACCTAGTGCTGAGTTTCGCATCTCTCAGAATCTTCAGTTCCACCGGTTCACTAACACCATTTACTGATCCCTTTTTTTTCCTTTGGTATAACTGTTCTAAGATTTTTAAATATTATTTTTAGTAATGACAGCATGGCTGAACGTTCTCTTAGTAACTTGAAAACCAGATCACTAAACCACTGAATACTATGCGATTGTAGTTTATTGATTAGAAACTTCTAAGCATATTCTACATCTGCATTTGCTATGGGAAAATGCTTAATAGAAATAATTAGAAATCAGACTCGTTTCAGATAGAGGTAAAGTTGGTATTTGAATATTCAGATATTCTCCTTAATATAATTTCTGAAAAGTATTCTTTGCGAATTCTAAATAGTGAATAGTGAATGTTGTTTAGAAGTCAAAGTTGTATGCTGATTCCGATCGAATATTCAAAGTGTAGCAGCCCCATGGTATCAAAGGAGGCAGAAAGTTTTCACTGATGCTTGCACGGTGATTTATTTGAACAGTATGAAACACTGCAATGCTTCACTTGTCACCGTGTTGACAAGAACACCGTAAAACTATACAACCCAAAAAAAAACACTGAACAATCACAAGAACGTAAAGCATAATATACACAGACATTCACGATACAAACACAATGCACAATTCAATAAACAACATCAAAGTACCAGTAAACAATTAAACAAACAAACATACCTTGTTCCGGTTTGCCATAAAGGGGGAGCTAAATTGTTCTCATTCATTTAGCTGCTGGAGTCTGCTGTTCATATTTATATTTCGGCGTGAGGCAACAAACAACCTGTTACACACCGGCCAATGCTGATTATGAGGTGCTGGATGGGAAGCTGCTAAGCCCAAATTACTGGGCACCTTATAGGCCGTTGCCCTCTAGCGGTGACTTAAGGATAGGGAGGATGGTGGTCATTACACAAAGTAACATGGTAAACAGTACAGAGGCTGCTAAATGAACAAATATGCGAATATAAAACCAACCTCTATTCGTTTTGAGTGCAAAAACAACCTTCTAAACAGCTACTAACTTGTGGTTTTGTCGGTTAGTCCTGAAACATTTGCATTGCATAGGCACTGTAGTACTATTGTGATAATGATAATTTTTACAATAGGTTGTGCAGCCCTAGTTAGTTTGACACTTTTTTTTTTTCACCTAAAAGAGCAGATTGGTTTGCAAAGCTCATCTAATGTCATGCCTTGCAATCCAACAGCTGTCAAGATCAAGAAGAACAAGGACAATGTGAAGTTCAAGGTGCGCTGCAGCAGATACCTGTACACATTGGTCATCACAGACAAAGAGAAGGCTGAGAAGCTCAAGCAGTCCCTGCCACCAGGTCGGTCTTCAAAAATGCCACATGAAATGTTGATTAGATCTTGCATCATGTAAACATGCACCCTGATAGTACATTTAATGTTGATTGCCAGATGGAACTAAATACATAAATGAGCCCTCAATTATTTAATTTTTTTTACATTTGTGTCCAGCATTTTGGTTTTTCAGTAATGTGATGGGCATTACTAAAATAATACACCCAACATTTAATATTGTCATTTACTAGCTTAACTTTTTTTTTTTTTTTTTCCCCTCTGTTGATCAAAAGATATTTCGATAATGTTGATAACAAGTAGCCATTGGCTTCCATAGTATTTACTTTTCCTATTATGGGTGTCAGTAGTTATCGGTTTTTAACATTATTCAAATTATCTTTTTTTTTCTGTTCCACTAATGTTTAAAGTATTCATTATAGGGGGATTTTGCCCTTTTAGGTTCTGGTTTTGTTTTCCAGCTGTAACATGTTTTGTAGTATGAATTTATAAGATTTTAAAGTGCATAGTAGTTGAACCCAGAGTTTCATTCAAATTATGGATCTCAATCTTAGTTCCTGGAGGGCCGCATCTCTGCACAGTTTTGCTTCAATCCTAATTAAACAGCTGATGCAACTAATCAAAGTGGTTATTTGGATCAGCTGTGTTTGATTATGGTTAAAGCAAAACTGTACAAAGCTGCGGCCCTCCAGGAATTGAGATTGCGACCCATGATCTAGATCAGGTGTAGGCAAACTTGATCCTGCAGGGCCAGTGTCCTGCATAGTTTAGCTCCAACCCTATTCAAACAGACCCCCCCAATAGAGTTCAAGTGATCTTGAAGGCACTGATTAGTTTGTTCAGGTGTGTTTGACTAGTGTTGGAACAAAACTCTGCAGGGACACCGGCCCTCGAGGATCAAGTTTGCCCTTCCCTGATCTAGATAGATTTATGGATTCTCTTGGTCACCAAAAGCTAACAATATTACATTTCAGCATTAAAACAATTTTTCATATACAATTTTCATCGAGTCATACCAGTATGAAATATGCCATTTATAATTTTTTTGCAAATCTTTAATCTTTTAAATAAGTACATTTTCTGTTGAATGTGAAAGATATTTTGAAGAATAGGCAACGCAAGTTTATTTATATAGCACATTTCATATGCAGTGGCAATTCAAAGTGCTTTACATAAACAGAAATGCAGATTACAGTTTTTGGTTAATCATTTCCTTGCTGCATTTTTTTCTATTTAACTTTTATCAAAACTATGAAAATCAATGGGGACTAGCTGCTTCTTGGTAACTCACCTTTTTTTTTAAATCATGCCTAAGAGAATTTCATACACCTATATGGAACAGCTTTTGGGGATAAATGGCAACTTCAAATTTGTGTTTACACAAACAAGTTAAATAGTTAAGAAATTTCATTGACATTAGGCTTGAGTGGTTTTATTTTTTCCTTTCTTTTGTATTCAGTAATTATAATTCATAATTGTGTCTGGCTGCCTTTAAATTTATGCTAATGCAGTAATTTGTTGGTGTTTTTAAGAAGTTTGCAAGTTGTCCAAACACTTTGGGTTTGTCCTGTGCCCACTGTGCATTTACACACTTGCTAGAGCAATGATGGACCTAGTGCTGAGTTTCGCATCTCTCAGAATCTTCAGTTCCACCGGTTCACTAACACTTACAGCTGTGCCTGGACTAAACTGACATTCTTTGGAGATCAGTCAAAATAACACCTTTCTTTTTCTGCTTTCAGGTTTGGCTGTGAAGGAGCTGAAGTAGATGTCTCTTGTACAAATGTTGGAATAAAATTGGATAAAATTAAGCCTTGTTGTTTGTGTTTCTATATCTAAGCTTGGTGTCTAATTTATTTTAAGACATTTGTATTATGAAATATTGATGCATTCATTGAATTAATTGGGGTGTTTACTTTTTGTTGAGATTTAAATCTGAAGAATCATGCAGTCCTGAATATTGGAGCATTGCCTGCTAAAATGGATGATTTTTCATCACAAAGAATTACATTTAATAACATGTTGATGTAGATTTATTCATTATTATTTTTAACAGGGAATTGGTGTTACGGATTTTCATGAAGGCCAATCTTGATCTAGATTTATCTACTTGGTCTCAAGCAGTAAGGCATATGAACCAAATATTGAATGACTTCTATATTTGGTACACAAACTCTTAAATGACTTTATAAACAATTTACAATTAAATGGACCTGTTTAGAAAGGTAGTGTTATTGATAGATTGCATTTTTTTTATAGTGCAAGTGTATTTATAAAGCTCCCATACTGTAAAACTCACTAATTTTGCTGTCTTTAATATATGTTCATTTTACAAATATAGCATCTTATGTTGGTTGAAATGCGACTATATGCGGAGAGTTATTTTACTTAATGGGTGCCTTCTAATAAATGGTTGATTTAAACCAGTGGTGTCCAAACTTGGTCCTAGAGGGACAGTGTCCTGGAGAGTTTAGCTTTAACCCATATCAAACACACCTGAACCAGCTAATCAAGCTTATTAGATATACTAGAAACTTCCTGGCAAGTGTGTTGGAGCTAAACTTTGCAAGACACCAGTCCTCCAGGATAGTGTTTGGACAACACCTGATTTAAACCAGGGGTCACCAATCTCGGTCCAGGAGGGCCGGTGTTCCTGCCGGGTTTAGCTCTAACTTGCCTCAACACACCTGCCTGGGTGTTTCAAGTATACATAGTAAGACCTTGATTAGCTTGTTCAGGTGTGTTTAATTAGGGTTGGAGCTAAAATCTGCAGGACACTGGCCCTCCAGGAACAAGTTTGGTGACCCCTGCTTTAAACAATGCAACTAAATGGCTTTATCTTAAACCAGGGTTGTCCAAATTCGGTCCTGGAGGGCCCGTTTCCTGGAGAGTTTATCTCCAACTTCAACACACCTGCCGGAAGGTTTCTAGTATATCAAGTAAGAGATCGATTAGCTGGTTCAGGTGATTGGGGTTAGAGCTAAATACTCCAGGACACCGGCTCTCCATGACCGAGTTTGGACACCCCTGCCACAAACTCATATTTAAAACGCATATTCCTGTGTTTGGTGTTTATTCAAATTTAAACACGTATACAATTTGTGTGTAACTATTAAAAGATTAACATTTACAAGGCTTCCTAGAAAACCTAAAACCAGTAGATGCCTGTGTTGAGTAATGCAAACTCTAAAATCTTAAACGGTAAATTAAATGATAAGTAAAAAGAGAAAGAAATTGTTTTAAACAACAGTAGTGTTAAAGGCTTTAGTTTTCTAATTTATGAAGTATAAATATGAAATTACCCCTTTACACGTGGTTTTAAATTGTATGTATTCCTGCCGTCTGCAACTACAAGAGTTACCCGATAGATGGCAATATTGTGTCATATTTTCATACGTACTACTAAACGTAGCGTATTGTTTTAAAGTTCGATCATGTTATAAACTTTTTTTTTTTTCCACCTAATTTTATTTGTAATATACCACTATAAGCGATACATACAAAAAAGTAAAAAATAAAATTTGTCCCGTCCTCATTCTCCTCTCAGGCGCGTCCCCGAGTCCCCATCCGTGCGCTCATTCAGGCTCGCTCTCGCCTGAGTACAACGCGCGCAGGAATGGCTGCGGCACGAGACTTGGATTTAATGCAATAATTCAACATTTCCCGTCAATTCCCATGGACTGCAAATTGGAGGAAGTATTCAGAGATCTTCTTAAGTCCCTTTGAGCACTTTTGTTTCAATACTCAGCTATCTTGAATGTCCAAACCCATGGCTTTTGTTTGAGAAGACAAGACACAGGAGAGTAAACGGCAAAGAAACACCCAAATTGTCGGAGCGTCTCTATCTGGGAAAGTGATTTTCTTTTAATCTGCTCGGCCGCTGAAGGATGTCGTCTGCCCGGGTCGATTATATCGCTCCTTGGTGGACTTACTGGCTGCATCAGTTTCCTCATGTGAATCTACGGTTTCAGCCGCTGGATCACACATTTAAACCGCAGGAGGAGAACTATCAGCAGGTCAGACCTTCTGCTTTTACTGTCATGCTGAGGTTTATGCTTCAGACATGGGCTTCATACATTGTCATTGAATGTCTCTTTGGCACATCTGAGTTGTATGATAATATTACAAAAATATTACATATGTACATTTATATTAAGAAGTCTTCAGAGAGTGTTTTCATTGTGTTTGACCTCTCAGTTGCCCCTCATAAAATGGTAAGGGGATGTACATTGTCTTAATATGAAGAGATAGACTCTTGTCTGGCTGTTAGGATTTGTTTATTTATATATTTCCCAAAACGTGTTAATGACTGTGTTTTAATTGACGTTAAGTCTAGCTCAAACAAATGCTCTTGTAAAAGATCTGTGTCTGTGTGAGGTACTTCTGTGATTCACCACACGACCTGAGTTTCAGTGATGGCTGTAATTTGTTTAAGGTCAGGGAACAATAGCCTATAGATATTTACCGTTCTATTATTCTCATTATTATTCTTATACATATTATTATTATTATTATTATTGCATTTATAATTTTGTTTATGGATTTTATTAAAAGTAATTAATTTATTAAAGTTTTAAAATCACAAGTGATTGTCTGTATGTGGTTTTGGTTGTAAGGCTAATGGAAACAAATAAAAAAAAAAAAAACAATTCCTGGCGGAAAATTATTATTTTGAACAATTTCTTAACAGTACAATTTTCAACAGTTAAACTTACAGGCATCACAGTATAAACACAGTGGAGATTTGCTTCATGCTACAGTATGTATTTTTATTCTTATGTTATGTTTGGAACTCAAAGTCCCTTTAAATAGCTAAAATGTAACCCAGGTGGTCATGTTTTAAAGAAAAGATTTTAAGTAGGCCTGCTTTTTGATAGTTTTTGGACAACTTTAATTATAGCAAATGACAACAACACACCCAAAAAAAAAAAAAAAGATCTTTTTTTTTTTTTTTTTTTTTTAAATCTCCCAGTTCAAGCTCATACATGGAATCAACTAAAATTGCTGCTTTATGCATTTCAGGCGAATAGTAAAGCATCAATACACACTAGTACATACTGTATGTATGCGTATTCTTTTATAAACACTGTATCAGACTCAATACAAGACAAGCCTGCAGTGCAAAAGCCACTAAAATGCTGCTGTAATGATGTAAATAGGCCCAAATGCATAAACAAATGTTTTCAGTTTTTGATGAAAATGGTGTCAGGCGAACGGTTAGAGGCCATTTATGCAGTGTAAACGTGGAATGAAATGCTCAGTTTTGCATACATCAATCCAAACTGAAGTAATGTTGTTGTCCTGAATAACACCCTTTTGAAAAATGCACAGTCTGCTTTATTATTAAACATGGTTAAATGTTTGCTTGCTAGATTTTAAATATATTTAAATATAATGATTTATTTGAAGTCCTATTCCATCCTAATGTGAAGCAAGTCTTTTTAAAGTAAAAAAATAATTTTGAACATCCAAATGAAAATTATGTGTGTTTCAATACAAGTACGCAAAGTTTGGACTTGCCAAGTTCAGACTTGGAAGAACGAACTTCCGAGGACACCAGGACACAAGTGGGACGGGTATTTTATATTGTTATTTACCTCACCATGGATTCATCGTTTTACTGCACATTAACAATAAAATGATTTAGTTGTATAAAGCACAGCCTTATAATAATTTGTATAAATCAATATGTTTGAATTAAGAAAATGAAAACGTAAATCACCATACATGTGAAGTAAAAGGTGCTATTTTACACAGACTTGAGTCTTTGATTATTTAATTTAAAATGCTACAATGCACACATTATACAAATATTAAGTACAGGATGTAACAAAAGGAAATAAAAATAACATTAAGCAATTTGGTAAACAAGGACAAACAGTGTACAATACGGTTTCATAATTAAAATGTAAAGCGTAACAAAATAACACTGCCAAAATAATACACCTAAAAACAAATAGTAGATTTAAATGACTATTATATCCATTAGATTTGCTCAAGATGGGTTAAATATTATGTTTTAACTACATTAAAGAGATGAGATCCAGCGGTACATTTGAGATAGTCTGGCTGATTAAAGCTGCTCTTGATAGGGAAGGTGATGAGGAAGCTCCCGCTGACAGGCTGGGGGTCAGAGTCTGGATAAGCTGAGGCACGTCATCATCTTTGTGAATAAACTGCCGATTCGAGTTTAAAACAATCACATTCTCGCCTGAAAAACTCGTAACTTTAATTTAAAACACAGCAAAGGCTTTTTTTTAGCTTTTTAGCTTTTGCTGGTCGGGCTGCAATGGATTCTGGGATACCTGTGCTTCGCTAGTTAGCACAAGTCACCTGTCGATGCATCCTTGACAAAAGGGCGGAGCAAGTATACATCTTAGAATTTTATCTGTTTTTGCCAAGAACTTTGAATTGGAACAGTACATCAGCGACGGTTGATGATGTTTCACGAGGACACAAGAACGCACGTACAGACAAGAATGTATATTGAGAAACAGCCTAGTACGTGTGTTTCCATCAAGTTGTAAGAGCAGCTGATTATAGTATTGGTAACCTAATAACCAATGACAAAGACTTTAGAATACACAAGACCTGTCACTCATCTTTTTGAATGGGGAAAAGTGTAACTGTCAATATGGTGAATAAAGCCCCGCCTACTAGTACAGGAGCCAATCATGGATCGCTATATGGTGAAAAAAGCCCGCCTTCTACTACAGGAGGCAATCATCGTTGTCTATAGACTGACGGGGAACTCTGGGGAAGGGGCTCGGACCAGTCGTGAGTTTCAGCAGATTTTGTGTGTGACATTTAGAAATAAAAACTAAAGGGATAGTTGTTGTTTAATCTTATTGTGTGATTCCTTAATATTGACCTTATTCTAAAATGCGGAAGTGCGCCTGTTTTCGCGATTGTCTTAGAACTTCCGATTCAGTCGCCTATGGTAGAAATGACTAGGAATAATAAACGGCAGAAAACGGTCAAACTACTTGCTCAACAAACAAATGTTTGCATGACTACACAGACCAAGTAGCATAATATAATAAGGAAATATTAAATTGCAACATCAAGCAGTGTAACGAGCAGTTGTTAACATCAAAAAATGAATGGAAGTGAATGTGACCGGAAGTCGTGAGACAAAAAGATTCAAATGGCAGCGCCCGCTCGTCTGCGGAGAATAAGGTGAATAAAAATCAATCGTAAGCTTGGCAGGCAGTTTTGGAGAATTTGATGTTTCCTCGTTCAAACAGAATGCCCGAGCATACTGCCCGAGAGGCGTTTCAAAGATGGCCGCTGAGTGAAATACTTGCCTTAAAGCTGGGGTGTCCAAACTCGGTTCTGGAGGGCTGGTGTCCTGCGGATTTTAGCTCCAACTTGCCTCAACAAACCTGCACGGATGTTTTTAGAAAGCCTAGTAAGAGCTTGAATAGCTAGCCCAGGTGTGTCTGATTGGGGTTGGAACTCAACTTTGCAGGACGCCGGCCCTCCAGGACCAATTTTGGGCATCCCTGCCTTAAAGGGCCTTTGCCAATAGTAAAGGCAAGCATAATGGAGACAGCTAAGAATGACTAAACTTGAAAAGTTGCTGTTGTCTTTGTCGATATGGCCACTATCCTCTCATTCTGGCGTAACAATTAAGGAACTTTGCTGCTGTACCATGCCTGCACCAGTCACAATAATATTACGCAGCACCTGAAAATAGACTCTAGCTAGTTAACTAGGTAACATCTTTGCATAGTACCCTAGCTAGTTAACTAAGTAACATTGCTGCGTATTGATTGCCATAGTCCGTCTTGTTTTGTGTTGCAGAGAAAAAAGATACTAAAAGCTGAAAATCACAGTCACAGATCTCATTTTGAAACAATTCTTTGACTCAAGTCTCGAAGACACCCATTTTCCACTCAATACGTTTCTGAAATCTCCTCTGCACATGTCTTACTTTGTGTTGGTGATGGTGTGTGTTTCTGCTGGCCAGTATCAGCATCCAGTTGATCAGAGATGGAGTGAGGGGGGATCGTGAGAGAGGATGGACGGGCACGGTGCTCATTTCTGTAGCTGTCTGTTTCTATTAAGGCAGATGGTGTAAATGGAAGCAGAGCGAGACCAGATGCTGTGGTGTGAGATCAGGAGCTCACGCTGGGTCTTCCGCCGTCTCCAAATCAACACTGAGGCATTTTCCGATGGCCCGAGGGATCCTCCTTCATAACCCATTTTCCCCCCAGTTTGTGAATCTAAATGCTCTGTTCCCGCTGACACTGCTCTTTGAATCCTAATATAGCTTTTCAGCAGAACAGGAAACTGCCGGGATCTTTTTCCTCTGTGGGGTTTTTATAAATGCTCGGGGAGTTTGTGCATATGAGCTCTGCAAATCTTAGAGACTGTTTTTATTGTGGTTTTTATATCAAATTGGGGATGTTTGTTATGAGCACTTTAGGTGAGATGTGTTTTCTGTGGTGATTTTTGCGGTGTTTGTTCATTTCAGCAGTTCTTGCCGACACTAAATGTGCCAAATAATTACGAGAGAGTTTAATTTAATTAGGATTGAAAAATCAGTTTGGATTCATTTCTTGCTCTGAATTTGTTATATTGCATAGTTTGCATTTAGGTTACAAGAATGTTCCCGTTGGTCACAGTTAATGCACTAATAACAGCTGTGTGTTTTTTAATATTAGTATGTTATTTTAACAATTAATCATTTAAGTTATCAGGATTTTCCAGATAATGTTTGTTTATTGTTTGCTTGCTTATCACTTTTAGTTTCTTTTTTTTTATTTGTTTTATTTCACATTTAAGTGTCAAAAAATATAGCAAATCATTATAGAAAATATTGGTCATTCGTTTGTTTGTTTGTTCTTTTGTTTGTTGGTTTGTTGAATTGTTTGTATGTTTCTTGGTTGCTTTGTTTGTTAGTTTGGTTTGTTTGTTTGTTTATTCGTTTGTTGATTCGTTCGTTTGCCAGCTGGTATGTTGGTTCGTTGGTTGGTTGGTTCATTGCTCTGTATTTTTGTTGGTTTGTTTA